TTTCAAAATATGTATACCTATGTGGCATTTAAAGATACTTTATGAGGAAATGGGTGTGGTAATAGAGGTCAAAGGTCATTTTTTACTTTGATGAATTGCACTATGCCCTAATATGTAATCGTACATTTATATATCTGAAGGTTTGATCATACGATTGAAACGTTTCAGAAATATAAATCCAATGTGATAATGGAGCTTTGGTGGTATCAGAGTCGAATCAACCCATTCATCTCCAAAGGGTCATTTTTAAATAAAATTAAAATAAATTCATTTTACCCAAACACTGATAACAATACAAAATATTACTTGTTGCAATAAAATATTCATTCCACTATATTTCTGTTTAAGAGTTGAATTTTCACCATGACCTTGACTTTTGACTTTTGAATATTACATTTTGTTAAACTTATATAAATGTTACTTCGTAATAATTTTATTTTATGACAGTACGTTCTATGATTACGAAACCAATTGTATTAAAATAATCAATTTATGTTTTCTTTATGTTTGTTATATGATGTATTTAATATATACATCAGCTGAATAGTTTATGTAAGACGTAATATACATTGATTTTATACATACAGTAGCTATTTTGGATAGAAATCAAAAACAGGACTTGCTTCATTTGAAATACTCCTCTTATATTTTCATATATTTTTAGCACTTGTTAATATTGAATGGTTGCATAAATCTATGCTGATTATCAGTATTTATTTGAGGAATTCATATTTAGTGAGATGATAAATGTAAAGCGTATTTTCCACTTAAAAAAATGTTAACACAACAATTGAGATCATCCATCCTAATTGTAAACTAGTGTATTGCTATTAAATAGAAAATAAAATATGAAGCACTTGATGAAAAATTTGGGGATTTAGTAATTAAGACTAATTTCATAATTTTACCCCTTGGTGATGAAAGGGTTAATATTTCAACTTTGCAACAAGTAAACATCCGAAATCAGTTCAAATCCTTAAAGCTGACACTCTAAGCTTTCCGATGGTATAATTGAACCTTTGCATAAATGGCGACATTCTTTTGACCCTACTTTGCATTATATAGAAACTATAGATAGTAGTCAACTATGTAGTTGTTATATTTTCACTTATCACTTATGAGCGAAATCTTTCTACTAAATTACGAAAATAAAGTCCAGGTTTACATAAAAAGACCACGTAATATTATTGTCTTACCAATGGCTAGTTCTATTTTGTATTACGCTAATATCTTTGGTATGCATTGTATTTGTGAACGTCTCAAATAATGTATTTTTGTTTTCCATTGGTTCTCAATGGCATTTGTGATGGTGGCATTTCTAAAGATTTGTAAGATAATCCATTCCTACTGGCAGCCTATCGATAAAGAAAACAATAATAAAACAACATATCTACACTGAGAGAGGTATTTGAAGTCAACAAATGACTAGAGTCAGATTCGTTTTCATGTTCAATTGTATACAATTGCGTTCGCAGATTCACTGCTCATTGTAAAAGTCCAAAATGAATTTCTGTAGTTTTGTATAGCATGTTATTTACTTGGATAGCTCGTTCGATTAATCCATTCGTGTTCTGGTAAGCATGTATTCAACCAGGTAGTGTGGGGTACTGTGACTCAATTATAGGGGAGAGCGGGGTAAGACGGAACGAGGGGTAAGACGGGACGATGGCTTTTAAACAGAAACTGTTTAAAATTGGTCGCCGAAGTTAACTTTTTTTGAAAATATATCACGTAATCTTTCTATTCAACTACCAATTTATCGTCGGCTGCAAGTAATATTTTTAATAAGGGTAGATATATCATTTTTTATCCATTCTTATAACATTAAGAAAAATTATAGCTTTTAGCTGTCTCATTTTGAAAGCAGACGACATTTTGTAGATTCACGTGGTGGTGGGGTAAGACGGAACGGTCGTTCCGTCTTACCCCATTTTCAAGGTCAAGGTCATTCCAAGGCCAAAGGTCATTATCTAGGTATTTGATGATTTAAGGTCATTGGGGATGTTGTGAACCTTGTGACCCATGATTAAGTGAACTAAGGTCAAGGTCATTCCAAGGTCAAAGGTCAGTATCTAGGTATTTTACTTTTTAATACCTAGGGGGCTGCTGTGACCCTTGGCAACTCATAATAACGTGACCTGACGTCAAGGTCAAGGTTTATGAGTCAAGGTCATCTCAAGGTCAAAGGTTAATATTTAGGTTTTTGGTGTTTCCAGGACCTTGGAGGGTGCTGTGACCCTTGGCGCCCCATGATTAGGTGACATGAGGTCAATGTCATTCCACTAATTTTGAAACTTTTCATGTGTTAATGCAAAGAGAAAACGTTTCCTACCTAATGTTGATTTGTGTATGAGCATAGTCGACAGGTAAATCTTTGTGTTAACTTTTCTTAAACTTAAAATATAATAAACATTGTACCATCTTTACATGGGTAGCAAGTGCTTTTTGGAAAATCGTTCCATATTGGTTATGTTACAAAAATACCGTCACGTGTGCTATTGAACTTAAAATAAAAGTACTAGTATAGTACCAGTATGTAAAAACATCAAATCGGATCATTTTATTTAGATTTCCTTCAGATAATTTCAACCGTTCCGTCTTACCCAACCTGTTCCGTCTTACCCCACGCCTGTTAAAGTTGACCCTGTTGACACGGGAGACGGTTTTGATGTGAAATAGTCTGTATAGATAAATTAAATTAATGTTAAAATCATTTTCAGTAGCTCTGCATTGTAAAATATTATAAACGTTTTCAAGGAAACCAATGTTTAATGAACAGTAGCCTATCAAAGATAGGTGTAGATTTTCGTTCCGTCTTACCCCACTCTCCCCTACGCAACTAAGATGCCAAGTGCGATCCAATGCTGAAAGACCACAAAGCCGTGGACTTATCTAGTGCCAAGAACATATCAGAACCTGAGATGATCTTGGCACTAGACAAGGTGTGACAAGGTTATCACAACATCCATTCAGATTCTATACACCATTAAAGCAATTTTCGAAAAAGGTGTATGTCTTTTAAATTTGATTTTTTGAATTTCCCGCCAACAGAAATCCAAGTTAAATATTTCAATCATCAACGATAAAATATTAAAAAGTTGAATCTTATTCAAATATATTTAAGAAACATAGACAGAAGAGCAGGTATAATAACGCCGAATACATACCGCAGGGCTAGGCACAATTGTTTTTTGTACCCCGAACGGCCGAGGGGAGTGAGGGGTTCGAAAGATTTTGTGCCTAGCCCTGAGGTATGTATTCGGCGATAGTACACCTGCTCTAAGGTATTTTTTCCGATTCGAACATGAAAACTCAACAAAATCATGAGAATATTGGCAAAAACTACAAGCAAGACGCTTACAACACCTGAGGTCTTTCAAAACACTTTCTGATAAACAAAACAAAAGACACATTTGGGGCACTTTTGAAAGATCCTAATACCATAGATATAGAGTAACCAATATGTTTTTTGATTTATTAATGGATTTGAAATTGCCGGAAAATCACTGGAAATTAAGTTTTTTTGTAATGAAATGCCTGCTTTTTTGCTACATTTGGTAATTATCAATTACAGTTATAAAAACACTCTGGCTGCATATGTTATTGATTACAGAACTCATCGATGTGAGTGACAGATTTGGACTTGACACAAGCAAGAATATTAATATTTGCAAATTGGATAAAAATGTTAATATTTCATATTTTGGGGGTATAGGACAACTAAACAGCATAACATTCTAAATAATGACACAAATGCACTATTGTGTACTTTAAATGATGTAGAGATATGTAGCATTGCAATCGTATAAACACATCAGTTGTGTAAGATAAGTTGTATTGTTATCAATTTAGTTGCTGGCGTGAAACTGCATAAGATATTCTCACTTAGACGATGTTATGTTCAGAGAGGACACAAATTGGTATTCTTCACATTGGGTAGCCTAAATATATCAGAAAAAATCAGATAAATTGTGTAGCAATGTCAAATTAAACGTATTTATCGAAAAATACCCTAAAACTGAATTTGACTTTTATGCCCAAAACTCAAATTCAAGGCCAGATCAGGCCGCTTCGGCTTAACCACTGGCCTTGACAGATGTGGCATAAGTGTTTTGTGATATGAATTACAAGGAGACAGCTGAACATCGCTTTTTGTTTGTCTGTCCCGAAGCAGAGACAATAACATATAACTATATGTCCCTGCCCAAAGTATTCAAACGATCAATAAAAGAACTCCGAAGATTCGAGGTAAAACAGAATATATCATAAGTATAAAATTCTTTCAATCTTTCGCAATGGGCACATTGTATATGCCGATATTGTTGATTACTGTGTTTCGGCTGGGACTCCATAGATGGCGTTCTGTATGTGTTGCACGTGACACTTGATATTCCATTTATCATGGATAGGTCCATTTGAGACGCTAATACAGCGGCGTTGGGAAAATGTGAGAAAACACATGTTATCCATTGTTTTAGTCATCAGAAAATTCGTTTGACTAATAGCTGAATTCATTTTTAGAACTTGTTATCTTGTTTGAAATCCCTTGCGCCATCTGTCGTGAACTTTTTCTGGTAACGTATTTCAATATAAGACAAAGTATATCTACTTGTAAGCAAAGAACCAACTTTAATCATTAAATAAATAAATGAAATAAAAAGAATAAATAAATAAATATTGTATAATAAATAAGCTTGAAATAAATATATTTGATCAAATGGAACAACTATAGACCTCTTGACGTACGTCGGTAAATGGCTTCTTACTCATCTGGGTAAAATTGTATTATTTTCTTCATAATTATTATTTGATTAATAAAACTGTCCCATAAGACAAATAAACGCGTGGACGTGGATCGATTGAAATTTGAAAATGAAGAGTGTTGATGCAATAACTCTAAAGGCTATCCAATGGGATGACGATTTATATTGACATACGTGATGCCCCCTCCATTCTAGTCCTTTATCAACTGACGATATGGATTAATTCATTAGCGATCCTATATTAATCTCTAAATCACCCTTTAACAAATCTGAAATTATTATATCGCTTTCTAGGATGTTAATTGGCCGCCCCTCGGGACCGTATAAGTTTGTATTCAGCGTTAATAACAACGTCGGACGAATTGAATCAGATCTTGACAAGCTTAAATGGGCCATTATGACTATTGTTCACTAGTTTAAATCAAGACCCATGATTTATCACAGATTCATTTTCACGTCATAGAAAAACGGAAGAAGCCGCGAGAAGGATTTCATAGAGAACAATTAGAGAACAGTAGGGCGGCACCCAGGGAAAGGAAATTGTGAAATCACGCTCCGTGCGCTTTTATATATTCCATTTAACTTATATCGTCATTAAAAACTGACAATCAGCTACGCTAGTCAAGCAGGGAGGAAACACTGCTCTTTTATCTTAGATAAGTGACATTAAAACAAACCTTTTTAGTTAGAACACTTCGAGTCTGAGACATTCTGAGAGGACGAACAGCGTTGCAGAGTAAAAATGGCCAACACTCGAGTCTCGCTTTTTCTTCTAGCATGGCTTCAAATATTAGGTAAGACTTATGATATATATTTTTTTTAATGTATTGTTCAGGTATTGTTTTAATGAAATTATGTTGAATTTACGACCTAGAGTTTTTACTTACATCATTTACCACGTTGACGTTTCATTTAAATCCATTTGCTGTTTTATTAAAGAGATCCATACCTTTGACAGTCTGAGCTTTGAATTTATCTTTTCATGGAAAGGTTCATATTTTAATTCTGGGTTATTCACACCTCTTGTTTTTTTAAAATATATAATTCGATATTCAAAAGATACAGTTGTATTGATAATGCCAAGTCACCAATCTGAAATCACAACATTTCATTTTACACTGCGTCCATTTTATTCATTGATGCTAAAGTTAACGAGAGTCTAGCATTGAATCATTAGAAAGGTCCCTCAATCTAAACAGAGTTCATAATTGCTTTAGAATCGCGTGCTCAAATCTATATCTCCGACAATTAATAGCTTCAGTTCCAATCAGTTCGAGCATACAACCTCAGTGGATGTTATGGAAACAACTGACCAATTTAATGAACTAAACTAAATCATAATGATTCCAAATGTAACGCCAATTAATCCTGTCGATTACTGTAAGGAAAATATACGTTACATACTTGCTATCTTATTCTAAAAGAACCTTAAAAGTGATCCTGGAAATTTTCTGCACTAATTTTGAAAGGTCGGCTAATGTCTCTGTACAACATAAATGGCAACGTCACTTTTAATTGTAAAATAGTGAATGAAAGTTCACAAGCAAAATGAACTGGGAAGCAATGCTAACTGTGTATCCAAAAGATCCTCGGATGTTCACTTTTGCAAACTTAAGTTGCGTTTATTTTAAAAACATTTGCGCAAAATGTTATGCATATTAAGAACCTCACTATTTCGCAGAGAAACAACACTATTCGATCGGAAACAGAGATTCACGAAATGCGATGAGCTGTCTCGAGAAAGCTCAAAATAAAATGATCGAGAAAACCCATCATAATTCAATTCCCCTTTGTTGATGAATTTTTGCATTTTCCTCATGATAAAATTCAGGTCGATTAAAAACCACGTTTGGCAAAGATATGTGGTCTTAATCTGCACTTTTTGTCTTTCACCAATGCAGTAGTTAATAATCATAGAGATTTACCTCAATAAAAGAGCCACACGGAGGTTTCTTCGGAATATAGGTCTATTTATTTAAATAGGTCTATTTATTTAAATAAATAATGCTAAATGCCTTGAAATGGCCAGATTTATCAGTCTGTAATTATTCTTGATTAAAAATACCTTCACAGATTGATACATTTAGCCTACACTAGAAGTGGTTCTTTGACCAGAAATCTCCATTATGATGAAAAAATGAAACGACCCGAAGATAATATTCTAACAAGACTAAAGGTTTATTCTATAAACAGTTTATACAAGAATATGTTTTGACTAAGGTAGTATAGCGGATTATGTTCCTTATTGTTGCTCGTGTGTATCTCCGTTTTAAGTCCTAATACTGCCCCTTGGCCCCATTATGGTGTATAGAAGGTATATAGGCGTATGGATTTATTCTAAATATGATCCCAATGTCAACGACAATGTAAAAGAGGGGCAATACACGTTAACTCTTTAATTAACAGGCTATTAACGATCATAAGAACGCGGAAATATTAAAAAACCAACACGATCACAATGTACCAACGAATCTGCATTTTTTACAAATGTAATTGCAAAATGAAACGATACATTATATATGGATTTCATGATATATATTCAAATGCTACAACAATATAGATAGATACATAGGTAAAGAAAAGATAAACTGATTGCCTTTTATAGTTCGCTACTGCAAACAAACGCAAGAATTACTTTATAAGATTCAAAGTTGTACTTCAGGTGAATCCATCCTAAAAGTAGGGAGATTATCAGTCATGTAATTTGGTCATGCATTTCTTGATTTTCTAAAAATTATTAAATAGATCTCTGGGAAAATTCCCATTGCTAGAATCTCAAATTTGATTGACATACATTAAGTTGGCTCTATAAATGTTCAAATGCCATTTAATTTGGTCATTAATAGCGTGAGAACAGGAAATATTTGTGTAACATACAGCAATAACATACACATTGATATGATGTATATGGATTATAAAACTAGAAACAATCATATATATAGAAATAATTTATAAAGAATAAAGAGTACAGTGCCTAGAATAAAGCCCTAAGGAATACCGCATCGTATTGTTTTCATATCAAAATGCTCTAGTTAAAGACGTCATTTGTTTCCTATCACAGTTCTAAGATAGTTTTGAATTGATTAATATGGAATAAAACTAATAGTATATATAAAATTAATAATATATAAATACTCAAATAATTTGGAATGACGACTATTAGTTTAATCGTACCAAATGCTTTACTTGAATCGATAAAAATATCGTTAAAAATATCAAAATTATTGAGAATTGAAAAAGTTATCAGGAAAAAGAGGGGCGTGACTTGTTTTGTCCCGGCTACTACTATATGCATGTCACACCTCTCCATATAAACTAGAAAGATGTTGCTAACTTATAAAAATCAATTCTACAGAGAAGCGATCCTTATAATGAAATACAAAAGTGGTAAAAGTTGTTTGAGAAATGAATGATGCTTTAAAAGAAATATGCAGAAGAATAATGTATTTCATAGTGACAGCCGTTATTTTGAAAAATACAATTCAAAGTCTTTTTGAGTAATATATATTTGTGATTTTATTGTCCATCAGTCGTATGCAGATGGCAAAGGAACGTTCAAATTAATAAATATTTGATATCGTTATGTGTTTTAAAATCAAAATACGTCAAACCAAGGCCATGAAGAAACAACCAAATTCGAGGTGGTGTCTTTTGGGTAATTTATATTTTGTGATTTTATTGTCCCGTCCGGTATATTTGATATCGATATGTGTTTCAAAATCCCAAAACATCTAACCAATGCCATGATGATACAGTACCCAGAAGAACAATATGATTCACTAGAATGACAGCTTTTACTTTTGAAACAATCTTTGAAGCGATCGAGTCTTTTTTAGTAACATATATTTGTCATTTTATTGTCTAACAGTCAGATCCAGATGTCAAAAGAATGTTCAAATTAATACGTATTTGATTCCGGTATGTGTTCCAAAATCCAAATACATCAAACCAAAGCCATGATGATACAATACCTCTATTGCAATCAATGACCTATTACCTCGTGCAATCAAACAACGTCTGGAATTGTTAATACGACTGCCCATTACTCAAATCATGTGTTAACACACAGCTTTACCTCTTGTATCAACCTTGAAATGATTGCTTCCAATTATAACAAACGATTGAGATTTAGATGAATCAAACATAAATGTCTGTAAATTACTTCTAATATATGATACAAGTTTGGATTTATTTGAGCCATTTAGCGATCTCCAGTCACAGAATAGGATTATAAATTCAATAACGCATAATATTTACTCGGGATATTTACCGTACGACGATACATAATTAAATCACCTGAACACGAAAAAATATGTTCCCAAGTTCCGCGACTGGACAATTAAAATTAAACGACTAATAAAAAGCAAGGAACTTTAAAATTAGTGCGAAAAAATTTAAGCATGAATTGGTCAATTGATTTCCAAATTCGACGAAAGAATAAAAGAGTGTATTTTAATTAATTTTCTGTACTGGTATGTCGATTTACGAAGGGATGTGAACCACTATCTCTAGCAAGTATTCGTATCTGAACTCATCAATGAATCCCATTCATTTCGAACTGCATATTACCACGTATGCCTTAGGTAAACAGAAATGACAGAGTCTGCATTGACTCTTTAGATGAAACTTTTCTGCATACACTACCGCTCTAAGAGGTTGTGCCCTCCTGTCTGGGACTATATTGAAATATGTCGTTTTTAAATTAACAGCACCTACGACTAAACATGATGAGTATCACCTCTGTCCGTTATGATACGATAATCATCATATTTATACGTCATGTATACGTCATATTTTTTCTTATACTGTCAGATTTTTAGTCTCGGGGTATTCCCATGCTATTCTCTTTTAAATTGGATCATTTTCTAGTCATAGACCTATAATCATATTCGTGAAGGTTTCACCTTATGTCAAAGAAATTCAAAGGTTCCATTATTGTTTTTTAAAGGTTTTTACGTCATGAATCGTAACAACCCTTTCACTGATCAGTATCATGCGAAGGCAACGGCTTTATTTCAAATATCAAAACATAAGGGCAACTACAAAGTAGTCTAATTCAATGAAAACTAAAAATATCGACAGTTACCGTCCGCCATCTTTGATGCGAAGGTGACGGCTGTTACCTTCGCTGAGATACTGACCAGTGCCTTTTCACTTTGATAAGCCATTGGCCAGGTACCTTTCTTCGTAATGTATTTTGAGGTTTTTCACAAAAACGTACATATTTGCTGCGACATCGAGAACAAGTACATTTTTGCTGAAAACCTCCTTAAATCTCAATGAAAGGGACTTAAAGGGACATGGGCGAGTTGAGAGTACTTTTCGTAAGAATTGTCGCAATTTTACATGTTTTGCTCAAAAAGGTTGAATAGTTTAACAAGTAAATTCTTCGATGTTTTAGGTTATCTTACAAATAAATTGAAAGGGAGGCGTACCACTTTTCAATTCTAATGAAATCTTCGATCGCTTTAGTTCATCAAAAAACTGTAGAAAATAAGAATTGTAATGGAGAGATTGGGCATGCATTTCGTAAATACTTGCAATTGACTTGAAAAACATCACACATATACCAGTATACCTCAGTTTAATGTTTCTTTTCAGCAGATGATTAGTTCTTGCACGGCCGATAAATCCACGATTGATTTGTCCAAATTAAACCAATTCCACACAATCACAGCAAAAAATGTGAATCAAACCACTGAATCCTGGAGTCAGGATTCATACAGGATTCATATGCACATATGAATCCTGTATGAATCCTGCCTCCAGGATTCATACAGGATTCGCTGTTTAA